TTAAAAATTTCTGATTAGAACGCCAGAAAACAAGTTGTACGATCCGTGGTCGTGAAGTCTTGCTGCCACATTATTTGCATTCTGTATCCACACTCTATCTCCTTTATTGAGTAAAAGATGTAGAGTCTGTCCAGATTGAGGATGTGTCTTTGAACTTGATAACAATAAAGACATTTTTATCCCATTTCTAACAATCTTCAAATGCACAGAATTCATTGGATGACTCAGAAGGGTGCCGGATATAGTGTAGAGACCGTTATATGGGGCCGTGAATATCCCTGTAGTGGGGTTATACGCTCCGCCCCAGTTGGTCAACACTTGGTCATACTTGACAATCCCGTGGGCGGTTACTATGATATCCTTGGAAAGCTTTGCAGTAAATGCAACCACTGGCCTTTGGTGTGCTGAAAAAAGTAATACATACAATTGTATATCTTTTGAAAGTGGGGGGTGGGGGTTGAAATTCATAATAATTTTTTTTAAAAAGATGTATCCACACTAAACATCCTATTTGATGCGGGGGGGGGGGGGGCTTCCGTTCACATCCATATTTTATTTATCTACTAGTATATTTTAATAACCATATCATGTTTTAACAGGATTCAACAAAAACTTATCCGATTACAACCAAGTCTTATTCATCCATTTTTTTTAGCTCACTTGAGCCGAAGGCTCAAGTGAGCTTTTCTGATCAAAATTTGTCCGTTGTCTGTCGTTGTTGTTGTCGTCGTAGTCGTTGTCGTTGTAAACTTTTCACATTTTCATCTTCTTCTCAAGAACCACTGGGCCAATTTCAACCAAACTTGGCACAAATTATCCTTGGGTAAAGGGGATTCAAGTTTGTTCAAATAAAGGGTCACGCCTTTTTCCAAGGGGAGATAATCATGAAATTGTTAAAAATTCATGGAATTTTTAAAAAATCTTCTTCTCCAGAACCGCTGGGCATGGAAAGATGAAACTCATGTGGAAGCATCCTCAAGTAGTGTAGATTCAAGTTTGTTCAAATCATGACCCCCGTGGCAAGGGTTGGGCCAAAATGGCCGACCCAAGTTTTACATAGGAATATATAGGAAAAATCTTTAAAAATCTTCTTCTCCAGAACTACTGGGCCAGGAGAGATGAAACTCATGTGGAATCATCCTTAGGTAGTGTAGATTCAAGTTTGTTCAAATCATGACCCACGGGGCAAGGGTGGGGCCAAAATGGCAAACCCAAGTTTTACATAGGAAAATATAGGAAAAATCTTTAAAAATTTTCTTCTCCAGAACCACCAGGGCCAGGAGAGATGAAACTCATGTGGAATCATCCTTAGGTAGTGTAGATTCAAGTTTGTTCATATCATGACCCACGGGGCAAGGGTGGGGCCAAAATGGCCAACCCAGGTTTTACATAGGAATATATAGGAAAAATCTTTAAAAATCTTTTTCTCCAGAACCACAGGGCCAGGAAAGATGAAACTCATGTGGAATCATCCTTATGTAGTGTAGATTCAAGTTTGTTCAAATCATGACCCCAGGGGCAAGGATGGGGCCAAAATGGCCGACCCAAGTTTTACATAGGAATATATAAGAAAAATCTTTAAAAATCTTCTACTCCAGAACCACTGGGCCAGGAAAGATGAAACTCATGTGGAATCATCCTCAGGTAGTGTAGATTCAAGTTTGTTCAAATCATGACCCCCGCGGCAAGGATGGGGCCAAAATGGCCGACGCAAATACATCGGAATATATAGGAAAAATCTTTAAAAATCTTCTTCTCCAGAACTACTGGGCCAGGAAAGATGAAACTCATGTGGAATCATCCTTAGGTAGTGTAGATTCAAGTTTGTTCAAATCATGACCCCCCGGAGCAAGGATGGGGCCAAAATGGCCGACCCAAGTTTTACATAGGAATATATAGGAAAAATCTTTAAAAATCTTCTTCTCAAGAACCACAAGGACAGGTAAGATGAAACTCATGTGGAATTATTCTCAGGTAGTGTTGAATCAAGTTTGTTCAAATCATGACCCCTTGGGCGAGAGTGGGGCCAAAAATAATCGACCCAAGTTTTACATAGGAATATATAGGAAAAATCTTTAAAAATCTTCTACTCCAGAACCACAGGGCCAGGAAAAATTAAACTCATGTGGAATCATCCTCAGGTAGTGTAGATTCAAGTTTGTTCGAATCATGACCCCAGGGGCTAGGATGGATCCAAAATGGCCGACCGAAGTTTTACATAGGAATATATAGGAAATATCTTTAAAAATCCTTCTCAATTACCACTGGGCCAAGAAAGATGAAATTCATGTGGAATCATCCTCAGATAGTGTAGATTCAAGTTTTTTCAAATCATGACCCCCTGCCCTTGGGATATGGTGGGGCCAAAATGGCCGACCCAAGTTTTACATAGGGAAATATTGGGAAACCTTTTAAAATCTTCTTTTCAAGTACTTCAAAGCTATGATTAGTGATACCCGGGGTATTTATATGGAATCATCCTCAGGTAGTGTAGATTCTAGTTTGTTCAAATGATGAACGCCTGGAAAGGGGGAGGGGATAAAATTCAAGCCTGATGTACTTCAACTAAAAGTAGGGATGGGATTCTTAAGCAAGATGCATGGAGTTTTAAAAAACAAAATTGTTTGCCCTCTCCCTGTCTCCCGACTGACTGCCTAAAAATTACCCGCCTCAAAACTTTGTTAACCTTCATAAAACGATAATTTTCAAAATTTCTTTTTTTACGTCATTACGCCTTTTTCCTTCCTACGAAAGCCCATTCAGCTCATTTTGGTAGGTAAAAAAAAATAAATTTTTCGCGTTACAACGCGAAACTTTCACGAATATACGCGTATCTTTCGCGTTATAACGCGAAACTTTCGCGTTATTTCGCGAAATAATATGCATATATAACAATGTTACTCAGTAACCTTGATCTTGATTGACAGATTAGAACAAGAAAACAGACCGGGCCTGGGGGCCATTAAACTTAGACGAGCTCACTTTTGATCTAAGTCTCACTTTTTCTAAAGGAATATATAGTGGAAAAGTGAGATTGAGATCAAAAGTGAGCTCGTTTAAGTTTAATGGCCCCCAGGCTATAACTCTCAGCAACTTATTTATAAAATATAATTTCTTCAGAAGATGTACTGGAGAAATGATGCGAGAATAGAATAGATTAGTCATCAGAATACTTTCTTCTATTTTTAAACCTTACCAATTGATAAAATGATTTTCTTTGACATGTTTTTCAAATTTTAAATTCAAGAAATTCTTTAGACTGATTATTTTTTAAGAAAAATCTCCACTTGAAACTTTTTTCAGGCTGTTTTTAAATCAGTAACACCTTCTACATGCACAACTGTACCACTAGTAAATTAAGCAATCAATCATTTTGGACTAAAATTTCTACCCAATAGAAACATAACTTAAAAGTTAATGAACAGTGTATCACTTCATGAGCATGACGGGCCATATGATGCTATTTAAATAACACTTATAATTGTATGTTGTTAATTACAAATTTATCCGGAGGGGTTATAGAGAAATTCGTGGACTAGGGCCAAAAATTAAAACTCTTAAGATATATAGTAGAGCAGTTTGTACACTGTGAACTAATTGTCAATATTTTTTCGATATCGTATTTCTATAGTGAATCTAACGGAGACAAATGAAAATCTACTATCCAATTTTAACAATTCTGTGATCTTGTTCTTTATAAAGAATTTTATTTTGTTTTTATTCTTGCCTCTCATTGGTTGATTTCCAAAAAGGAACGCATAACATTTTGTATAATCTGGTTTGATATGGGGACACACCCCCTTGACAACCAGCTGAATCATCTGTATCCATCAATCCCCTCATTTCCAGTCCTTGGGATTCATGGAAAATTCCAGATTTAATGATTGTACCTTTAATTTCAAACAGTTGCTCGATCTTACCTCATGTAAACAAGCATCATGGCTGCTAGATCTATGTATCAGTTTTTACCTCCCCTCGCTTCCCATCACTTCTGTTACTATGGTTGTATTATTGCGCGGTAAATTTGAACTCATAAAAACAACACAATTTTACATCCCCAGTTGTTTAATTATTTTAAAATTAAATTATAAGGAATGACTCTAATTCTTGGCCAAATTATCGAGTATAATATGGTTTGGGTCAGTTACGCATTTTTATAATCCGCTTCGCGGATTATAAAGCGTAAACTGACCCAAACCATATTATACTCGATAATTTTGCCAAGAATTAGAGTCATTCCTTAAATAAAATTATTTCAAATTTTCTAGAGAGTGCATAAATAAAGACACCGGAAAGGGTGATTTTCCCCGAAATTCATTATCTTTATATTTATAATAATAGGGATTGAAGTTTAACTTTTGGAAAACTCGCATAATCTTTGAATTCTTTGAACAGCTCTGACAAAGACCATCCATGACGGTAATGATGGATTCAATAGGAAGAAAACTTAAACTTGTAGCCTGAAATAGTCCAAGTTTAAAATAGCTTTTATTTGCTTATCATTGTCATAAAAAATGATCACAAAATCAAAAGAAAGTTGAGACTTAAGCAAATGGCTTGCTTAAACTGCAAAAGTTTCGCGTTATATCGCAAAAGTTTCGCGTTATAACGCGAAAGTTACGCGTTTATTCACGTAAGATTCGCGTTATAACGCGAAAGTTACGCGTTTATTCGCGAAAGTTTTGCGTTATAACGCGAAAGGTACGCGTTATTTTGCGAAAGTTTCCCATTATAACGCGAAAGTTACTCGTTTATTCGCGAAAGTTTTGCGTTATAACGCCAAAATTTTTTTTTTATTTCTTAACCTACGAAAAGATGGCTTCAATAAAAAAATACCCCTGTGTTGCTGGAAACATCGTTGGTAATTCAAAATCAATGTTTCAGTATTTAACATTTCCGAAATCTAATTCTAAACAAGAGGCCCATGGGCCACATCGCTCACCTGAGCACTAAAGGTAGGAAAAGTAGAAAATGGCTTTTTATTGTAAAGTTTAAATCCAAAAGTAGTCCCATGACCAATCATGGATTTGCTTTTTTTTAGAAAATGATTGTTAAGAATTTTCCTATGTATATCTTTAGAAACTTTGCTCGGCCATTTTGGCACCGCCCTACCCCTGGGGGTCATGATTTGAACAAATTTGAATATACACTACTTGAACATGCTTCCATATATAAATATGATGAATTATGGCTTTGTCATTCTTGAGAAGAAGATTTTTAAAGAATTTTCCTATATATTTCTATGTAAAACTTTGGTCGGCCATTTTGGCCCCGCCCTACCCCCGGGGGTCATGATTTGAACAAACTTCAATCTACACTACCTGAGCATGCTTCCATATAAATATGATGAATTATGACTTTGTCATTCTTGAGAAGAAGATTTTTAAAGAATTTTCCTATATATTTCTATGTAAAACTTTGGTCGGCCATTTTGGCCCCGCCCTACCCCCGGGGGTCATGATTTGAACAAACTTTAATCTACACTACCTGAGCATGCTTCCATATAAATATGATGAATTATGACTTTGTCATTGTTGAGAAGAAGATTTTTAAAGACTTTTCTTATATATTTCTATGTAAAACTTTGGTCGGCCATTTTGGCCCCGTCCTTTTCCCTGGGGGTCATGATTTGAACAAACTTGAAACTACACTCCTGAGCATGCTTCTATATATATATATGATGAATTATGGCTTTGTCATTCTTGAGAAGAAGATTTTTAAAGAATTTTCCTATACATTTCTATGTAAAAGTTTGGTCGGCCATTTTGGCTACGACCTACCCCTCGGGGGTCATGATTTGAACAAATTTAAATCTAGACTACCTGAGTATGCTTCCATATAAATATGATGAATTATGGCTTTGTCATTCTTGAGAAGAATTAAGATTTTTAAAGAATTTTCCTATATATTTCTAGGTATAACTTTGATCATCCATTTTGGCCCCGCCCTACCCCCGGGGGTCATGATTTGAACAAACTTGAATCAACACTACTTGAGCATGATTCCATATAAATAAGATGAATTATGGCTTTGTTATTCTTGAGAATAAGATTTTTAAAAAAATTTCCTATATATTTCTATGTAAAACTTTGGTCGGCCATTTTGCCCCCCTCCCCCTACCCCCGGGGGGTCATTATTTGAACAAACTTGAATCTACACTACCTGAGCATGCTTCCATATAAATATGATGAATTATGACTTTGTTATTCTTGAGAAGAAGATTTTTTAAGACTTTTCTTATATATTTCTATGTTAAACTTTGGTCGGCCATTTTGGCCCCTTCCTTCCCCCGGGGGGTAATGATTTGAACAAACTTGAAACTACACTCCTGAGCATGCTTTCATATATATATATATGATGAATTATGGCTTTGTCATTCTTGAAAAGAAGATTTTTAAAGAATTTTCCTATACATTTCTATGTAAAAGTTTGGTCGGCCATTTTGGCTACGACCTACCCCCTGGGGGTCAAGATTTGAACAAATTAGAATCTAGACTACCTGAGTATGCTTCCATATAAATATGATGAATTATGGCTTTGTCATTCTTGAGAAGAATTAAGATTTTTAAAGAATTTTTCTATATATTTCTAGGTATAACTTTGATCATCCATTTTGGCCCCGCCCTACCCCCGGGGGTCATGATTTGAACAAACTTGAATCAACACTACTTGAGCATGATTCCATATAAATAAGATGAATTATGGCTTTGTTATTCTTGAGAAGAAGATTTTTTTAAAAAAATTCCTATATATTTCTAGGTAAAACTTTGGTCGGCCATTTTGCCCCCCCCCTACCCCCGGGGGGTCATTATTTGAACAAACTTGAATCTACACTACTTGAGCATGCTTCCATATAAATATGATGAATTATGACTTTGTTATTCTTAAGAAGAAGATTTTTAAAGACTTTTCTTATATATTTCTATGTAAAACTTTGGTCGGCCATTTTGGCCCCTTCCTTCCCCCGGGGGGTAATGATTTGAACAAACTTGAATCTACACTACCTGAGCATGCTTTCATATATATATATGATGAATTATGGCTTTGTCATTCTTGAAAAGAAGATTTTTAAAGAATTCTCCTATACATTTCTATGTAAAAGTTTGGTCGGCCATTTTGGCTACGACCTACCCCCCGGGGGTCATGATTTGAACAAATTAGAATCTAGACTACCTGAGTATGCTTCCATATAAATATGATGAATTATGGCTTTGTCATTCTTGAGGAGAATTAAGATTTTTAAAGAATTTTTCTATATATTTCTAGGTATAACTTTGATCATCCATTTTGGCCCCGCCCTACCCCCGGGGGTCATGATTTGAACAAACTTGAATCAACACTACTTGAGCATGATTCCATATAAATAAGATTAATTATGGCTTTGTTATTCTTGAGAAGAAGATTTTTTTTTTAAAAATTCCTATATATTTCTAGGTAAAACTTTGGTCGGCCATTTTGCCCCCCCCTACCCCCGGGGGTCATGATTTGAACAAACTTTAATCTACACTACCTGAGCATGCTTCCATATTAATATGATGCATTATGACTTTGTCATTCTGCAGAGGAATACTTTTAAAGAATTTTCCTATATATTTCTATGTAAAACTTTGGTCGGCCATTTTGGCCCCACCCTACCCCCGGGGGTCATGATTTGAACAAACTTGAATCAACGCTACTTGAACATGCTTCCATATAAATATGATGAATTATGGCTTTGTAATTCTTGAGAAGAAGAACTTTAAAGAATGTTTCTATATATTTCTATGTAAAACTTTAATAGGCTATTGTGGTCCCGCTCTACCCCGGGGGTAATGATATGAACAAACTTTAATCTACACTACCTGAGCATGCTTCCAAATAAATATGATGAATTATGGCTTTGTCATTCTTAAGAAGAAGATTTTTAAAGAATTTTCCTATATATTTCTATGTAAAACTTTGGTCGGCCATTTTGGCCCCGCCCTACCCCCGGGGGTCATGATTTGAACAAACTTTAATCTACACTCCTGAGCATGCTTTCATATATATATATATGATGAATTATGGCTTTGTCATTCTTGAAAAGAAGATTTTTAAAGAATTCTCCTATACATTTCTATGTAAAAGTTTGGTCGGCCATTTTGGCTACGACCTACCCCCCGGGGGTCATGATTTGAACAAATTAGAATCTAGACTACCTGAGTATGCTTCCATATAAATATGATGAATTATGGCTTTGTCATTCTTGAGAAGAATTAATAAGATTTTTAAAGAATTTTTCTATATATTTCTAGGTTTAACTTTGATCATCCATTTTGGCCCCGCCCTACCCCCGGGGGTCATGATTTGAACAAACTTGAATCAACACTACTTGAGCATGATTCCATATAAATAAGATTAATTATGGCTTTGTTATTCTTGAGAAGAAGATTTTTTTAAAAAAATTCCTATATATTTCTATGTAAAACTTTGGTCGGCCATTTTGCCCCCCCTACCCCCGGGGGGTCATGATTGAACAAACTTTAATCTACACTACCTGAGCATGCTTCCATATTAATATGATGCATTATGACTTTGTCATTCTGCAGAGGAATACTTTTAAAGAATTTTCCTATATATTTCTATGTAAAACTTTGATCGGCCATTTTGGCCCCGCCGTACCCCCAGGGGGTCATGATTTGAACAAACTTGAATCAACGCTACTTGAACATGCTTCCATATAAATATGATGAATTATGGCTTTGTCATTTTTGACAAGAAGATTTTTAAAGAATTTTTCTATATATTTCTATGTAAAACTTTGGTCGGCCATTTTGGCCCCGCCCTACCCCCGGGGGTCATGATTTGAACAAACTTTAATCTACACTACCTGAGCATGCTTCCAAATAAATATGATGAATTATGGCTTTGTCATTCTTAAGAAGAAGATTTTTAAAGAATTTTCCTATATATTTCTATGTAAAACTTTGGTCGGCCATTTTGGCCCCGCCCTACCCCCGGGGGTCATGATTTGAACAAACTTTAATCTACACTACCTGAGCATGCTTTCATATAAATATGATGAATTATGACTTTGTCATTCTTAAGAAGAAGATTTTTAAAGAATTTTCCTATATATTTCTTTGTAAAACTTTGGTCGGCCATTTTGGCCCCGCCCTACCCCCGGGGGTCATGATTTGAACAAAATGTGAATCTACACTACCTGAGCATGCTTCCATATAAATTTGATGAATTATGGCTTTGTTATTCTTGAGAAGAAGATTTTTAAAGAATTCTCCTATATATTTCTATATAAAATTTGGTCGGTCATTTTGGCCCGGCCCTACCCCCGGGGGTCATGATTTGAACAAACTTTAATCTACACTACCTGAGAATGTTTCCCTATAAGTTTCATCTTTCCTGGTACAGTGGTTCTTGAGAAGAAGATTTTTAAATTATGCCACCAAATTTCAAAAATTCCCAATTATCTCCCCTTGAATGAGGGCGTGGCCCTTCATTTGAACAAACTTGAATTTCCTTCACCCAAGGATACTTTGTGGAAAGTTTGGTTGAAATTGGCCCAGCGGTTCTTGAGAAGAAGTCGAAAATGTGAAAAGTTTACAGACAGACGGACAGACAGACGGACGCCGGACAAAATGTGATCAGAAAAGCTCACTTGAGCTTTCAGCTCAGGTGAGCAAAAAATATAATCTTTCGTTTGTCAGGATGTACTTGTACACAGGGAAGGTGAAAAGGAATTTTGGGCAATACCTTCTGACTTCTGATTGCCAAATAATTTTAAATGAATCTTGCAAATTGTCTTTTCTGTTTATGCACGATCACACTGTAGCAAAATACTCACTTGAAAAGCAAGCTGAACCTTCGGAGATGACCAAAATCAGGAAAAGTGCAACGTAGTTGGTGGACATTTTGTTTTCTAAATTTAAAAAAAAAATGAACGCTATGTTATCCAAGATAAAATGTTGTTTATAGATATATTTTAATGAAACTTCTGTGAATTATTTTGAAAATGTTGTTCTCAATACATACCACTTTTTCACTTATTGATATTAGTGCAACAAAAAATATTGAAAATGTTCGCTTTCTGTGGACAATCCTCGTACTTTATTTTTTTTTAGAACTTTGTTACTAATAACTTTTACAAATGTATTTCAGTTTTAAATAAACTATAGTATATAAGTGATATTAATTAATTTTAAAATCATATCTTACTGTTAGAATTAAAATACATTGTATATAATACTCACAAAATTTCTCACTTTCCAACAGAACTCCTAGATTTTGAGATACATGTACGTGCATAAATACTTTCTCTTGCTAATATACGAGTATGGTTTGTATGTATATATATATACAAGTATTAATTTTTCTACAGGTGTGTACTTCTGTCGTGTGTATCATTTTTCGTTTTAAGCATCATCATACGATTTTGATAAGTGTCAAGTTCCGCATATTGTGTAGTTCATTCTAATTTTTTTATGCCCCCGTTAACGAAGTTTCGGGGGTATATAGTTTTTGTCGTGTCCGTCTGTCTGTCTAGCTGTTTGTCTGCAAAAACTTTAACCTTGTCCAAAACTTTTGATTTAGTGGAGCTGTGACTTTCAAATTTCACCTGTGTTCGTTGTGACAAGACCTTTCTTTAGGTACCACCAAATTTATTTCTGCTTTTTTCCTAGCCAAAGTGCTCAGGTGAGCAATATGGCCCATGAGCCTCTTGTATATGCTATTCAGCTCTGTTGAATTTAGGTGTATCAGCCATCGACGAGATACAGAATGATGCGACCTAGCTAGGTGTTGTAAATTTGGAATTTCCTCCTTCATTCATCCAAAAGAAGGAAGACCATGGAAGAGGATGAAATCCTGACACTAAGGGCAGAAAGAGAAAATGTATTCAGGAAAGCAAGAAGTTTAAAGAAGAAGCTGAGTTTTATCGAGTCAAAACCATGTACTTAAAAATAAAAATAAGAGAATTGCATGCTGGAAAAGATTCTGAAATGTAATCAGGGACGTAGCCAGGGTACATTTGATGTGGACGCCTGAATAGACGGGGGTTTTGGGGGCCGCCTTAAGGCCTTAGTAGGTCCAGGGCGAAGCCTTGGTGGGGGTCCCGGGGGCGAAGCTGGTGAATTTTCGACGATTTCGATGTGCATACTTGACCCTTCTGGCACTTTTCTTTCACTTTTCAGTTTGTTACACAGCCGCGTTTGAGGTCTGTTCTTAATTCCTTGTACAAAATGCGGACAGTCACTAAAAAAATGAGAAAGGATATGTCGAATAGCGTTGTTTGATGAACCCACTTAAACAATTTTAGACTTTTTTTGCTCGAGACAAAATACGTATCATGGTTAACATACGGCAGTTGGTTAGAGTGATTGACTGGTTTATACAGATTGCATACTAGGACTTGACTGATAATCACTCAGGCTTACATTGATATTAAAAAATGTTCATATATAAAGCTGAATTATGAATTTTTGAAGTTTCAAATGAATCTGATGTTAGGTTCATTTCTTTTGTGTGTGTGTGTGTGGGGGGGGGGGGGGGGGGGGGGGTTCGTTACAGAAGTTTAGCATTACGACTGGAAGTTAATTTCTAGAAATAGAAATTGAAAGAGTTGGCATTAAAATATAGTTTGTTATTGTTTGTTTTACGGAAATTTTCAATATAGTGTTTGTTTTAAGGGAGCCGACATATTGTTTATTTTAAGGGAGCCGACTGGGGTTCTAAGAATGTAATTACACTTGGAGAAAACTCACCAATATTCGATAGTAAACCAAAATCCGGGAAAATATATCATATTTTAGTGAGGTGTATAATATCGTATTTTCCCCTAAAACTAATTATTTTAATTTTCATTTATTTTTTACCGTTAATTCAAACTTGTTTTTCAGTATCTTTTTAAATTCAAAATTATTTACCAATATTTTGAAAAATGATGAGTACGTTTAAATTTTACACCTCTCTCTCTCCTCTTCTCTCTTTCCTTCTTTTCTTTCTTTCTTGTTTTTGTTCATATAGTTTTCTTTTTTTTTTGAAAATGATGTGGACGTATGTGCGTACAAACGTACGTTTTCATTTAAAAAAAAATAGTCTTGTTTCCTGCTACCCGACCTACCCTATTTGTTTTTTGCACCTAATCCTAATTTTTTTTTTAGATTTAAAAGAATAAATCAGAATATAATCATTCTGACACTGTAACTGGTTTTGTTAACACAAAACAAGCATTTCATGAAATTCTGTTTTAAATATGGACTTTTACAAAATACATGCTATTAACTACTTGAGTTGTTCATTAAAAGACATGAAATTTAATTTTAAAAGACAAAATTGACATGTGACATGTTTAATTAGATCTTGTATTAGTTCATATCATAGAAAATGAATAATATGTCAAATTATGAGGTGAAGAAAATTTGATATGGTATAGAAAGATGATAGATCAATTTTTTTTTATCTCACAATAAAATTAGAAATATGAAGTATATACGAAATTATATTTACTCTCATGCCTATCTTGCCAAAATTTCATATACACAATACAAGTATTTTAATGTTGTCTATCAAAATATTCGCATTGAACAATTTTCAGCTTTCATTTATAATTCTTTGCACACTCTAAAAAAAGTTTTACTTGTTGTTTTTAAAATAAGATATTAGATTGAGAAAAACTAGTAATTATTAGTAATCCATTTAGTCAGAATAGCAAGTAAATGACTATCATGGTTAGTAATTGTAAACATAATTAGTAATAAGGATGAATTCATTTACTTATAAAATGTTTTACTAAATATCAATAGAGTTACTTAAATTATAGGAATTGTATTACTTTAAGTTAGTAAATGAACTACTCATTTTTGTTAAATTATTATTACTTAATTCAGAGATAATATGCTTTCTTTTTACTAAATTTTATGAATTATTACTAAGTAAATGTAATTCTGAAATTAATTAAAATCTAGAATATTATTACTTAAAAGAATACTAAGTAAATGAAATACTTATCATATTTACTAAAATCGACATTATTTACTAGAAACACTGCAAGGTACCCACCCTCTGACATGTGAGTACTACTACTCACAGATTTCTTTATCAGAGTTCCCTAATTGGGCCCTCTGAATGGTGAAATAGAAGAAATCTACTTATGATGGAAACAATTATACTTTCCATTTCTTTTGCCAATTTCTTTGTAACTGTTTTATTATATATAACAATAAAACATTTGATTCCAACTTCGAAAGCCTAAAAATTGAATAAGTTGTATTTTTTTAAGGACCATTTTAAAAATGGTTAAACATTTCAAGTACTTAATATCGCACTTTTATTAGTGTGACTTTTTTTTCACATGAAGGTATATTTAGATGAAAGATATCTCCTCCTCACAGACAATTAGTGATAAGACTACCATATTTAAGTAATTACTGATCTGAATTCTCCTTGATTTAGTAAATAAATTTTTGTTTTAAGTAAATCAATTAAATACAATTCAAACATGCAAGATGTGTTTGTGAAACACCTATGCCACTGTATGGCAACATAGCAAAGGTTAAACTTTTCTTAAATGCAAATTTAATTATTGGGATTTCTTGATATCTCCAAGGTCAAAAGGTCAAGGTTATTGGTATCTAATGAAAGGTCTTGCTACAAAAAAATACATATGTGAAATATGGAAACACTTGCCTCAACCCTTCAGAAGTTATGGTCAAGGTTACCAATTTTGAAATGTAGGTCAAACTCCAAGGTCAAGGACAAAGGGACAGAGTTGGTGGTACCCAAAGAAAGGTCTTGTCACAAGGATGAACTATGTTAAGTATGAATGCACTAACCCTAATCCTTTTAAAGTTACAGTCAAGGTTTGCTTTTTAAAAGTGGGTCAAACTCCAAGGTCAAGGTCAAAGTTCTTGGTATCCTATAAATGGTCTTCTTAAAATGATTACATATATGTAAGTATGAAAGCACATTTCCTTACCGTTAAAAAGTAATGGCCAAGGTTAAAGTTTTTTCCCAAGGATGGAAATCTCCAGGGTCAAGGTCAAAATTTCATAGTTGTTGGTATTCAATGAAAGTTCTTTCAACAAAAAATATACATGTGAAGTATAAATGTCCTGGTATTTACTGTTTAAAAGATTTGGATAAAGAATAAGTTTGAATTTTTTGTGTATAAGGTCTTGTCACAAGGAATACACGTACGAAATATGAAAGTTATAGCTCCACTAAATCAAAAGTTATGGGCAAGGTTAAAGTTTCTGCGGATAAACAGAGAATCAGAGAGACAGCTAGACAGACAGACGGAAACGACAAAAACTATATACATGTACCCCCGAAACTTCGTTTACGGGGGCATTAAAATATTAATTATATAGTAAATAGTGGTAAAATGTAAGTATTAAAGACCAAGTAAAGTTATTACTTATATACACAAATTTAAGTAAATATAAATTACTAAGTAAAACTTTTTAGTGTGTAAGTAAAACAATTTTTTAAAATACAAAAATCAAGTAAAACATTTGAATCTAGTAATTGACATATATTTCAGTAATTGATTTTAAATTTTAAGTAAATGCTTAGTAATTATCTATTACTTATCTTTGTATTTTCAAGTAAAAATTGACTACTAAGTAAAACTTTTTTAAGAGTGCATGAATAATATGCAAGTTATATATGGTCATGTTTTGCAGGTCAAGGTCATTTACATATGACACTTATCCCTTTTTTTATTTGTCCACCTGAACCTTAATAATTTGAAATGATTTAATACCCAATACATGTAGGTCATTTCAAGGTTTATTTATTGTACATTTAATTCTAAATGCAAGTGAACAAATACCTGACTTTAAATTTTTATTGCTGCTGAGTGATAATTTAATTAATGGTACAATTTGCCAAGAATTACTGGATACATGTGTATTTCTAATAAATCTATGTCAATCATGGCCTTTAATCAAATTTCAGATATTAATTAATGCAGCATATTTTAAATCTGACATCTGGATTTGCTGTGATAGGTATGTAACACCTCATGTAAATCAAAGGTGAATTATTTAATTGAAATATGCACTAATACATGTATCAGTGCTTTGTTTGAAGACTAGAATTTTCATGTATATGTTATTTATAAATTTAAAAGATATTGTTGTACCAAACATTTGAGAAATTTAATGAAATTTCAAATATTTTCTGAAATAAGAATGAATAAAAAATTGTTGCTATTAAAACCCGGTGCATTTATTAATTCATTTGTATGACATTCATTTGTGGAAAAAATGACAATATAAACTATTGAGGACTGAAGTTATTTTGAAATAATGACAATGAAAGCATATTAGAGGCGTAGTCACAAACTTAAAAGTTGGGGGGGGGGGCTCAAGTCCAGAAATTCTTTGACAAGCAAAAAAAAAAAAAAAAAAAAAAAAAAAAAAAAAAAAATTAAATTAAAGTTTCCCAAACTCGGGGGGGGGGGGGGGGGGTGTTAGTGGCCAACTTTTTTTTTCAAAGGCAAGTTACTTTCAATTTCAGTTTTTCTACACAATTTTATTATACAACTATGTATTAATATTATTTCAAAATAGCTCTGATTTTCTTCTTCATTAAAAAGTGGGGTGGCACAGACATACTCTTGCCCCCCCCCCCCAGATCTGAAAGTGGGGGGGGGGGGGGGTGGCTAGTGCCCCCCCCCCCCCCCTGTGACTACGACTATGCATATCATTTCAAACAAATATTGTTTTATTAATTAAAGTTATCATTAATGCCTGTATGTAAATCCAAACCACTGTATGTACTAGTCAATATTTTGAACCCACATTTTAACCAAATTAATACATCTATTCATTAACAATTCCTACTCTTTTTTCATATGCAATACAAACAGACATTTTTTTCCTGAGATATTAAAGTCAAAAGAATTCTTTAATACGCAGGCACGTAGCATCGTTTTTGAAAGTGGGGGGGCCAACCTGAGAAAATTTTTTTTTCTTACCTAAAAAAAGTTGACAAGCAAAAAAAAAAAAAAAAAAAAAAGGAAATTTACCCAAACTCTCGAAAATCCTATTTCGTGTGTGTGTGTGTGTGTGTGTGTGTGTGGGGGGGGGGGGGGGGGTAGTGGCCAACTTTTTTCAAGGCAAACTTCCTTTCACTTCCAATTTTTTCCTATATTTCCTTGCTATGTATATACTGTGGTAAAAAGTGAGGGGGCCAACCACCTTTTCAATAGACATTTTCTATAGTAAAGGTAATGTTGGGGAAAAAAGTGGGGGGGCCAGGCCCCCCCCTGGCCCCCCGGATACTACGTGCCTGATACGTACATGTACGTAATATGATATTTCATTACATCAAAGTGAAAGTTCTGTGACTAACGTTCTCAGCTTTCATGTGGATTTTTGTAAAATTATTTTACACATTACAATGATTTTAAGGAAGGCCTGAACACTTATAATGTTTTTAAACTTAAAAAAACACACCAAAAAACAGTAAAATGTATTATTAAAGGTGTACATATCGAGTTCATTTCATGTATTATTGCATTCCTTTATTTCCTTAACATGAGGAAAATATTCAAGAACAATTTTTATTACAGGAGTGTTTGATTATTTAATGCATATACACAGTTTATGTAACACACATACAAAGCATAAGAAATCACGGGTTTGACGAGACTTGCGCAGTGCCAAGTTCCGAGACACTGTCGACAAACAGTTTACACACGAGGTCCAGCTGCTCCTCCTCACACGTCTTATTTCGACTTCCGGTACAGCCTGGCGTTTGTTCTACAATTAATAACCTCTTCTGTAACTTTGCAGAGGAACTCTTTTTGGGTTTACTTTGATGGCGGATGAGGAAGCTCTCCTTGGTTGTGACACTATATGTTCTATTTATCATCACCCTTAGACAGGAACAACAAGGACACCACATATAAAACAAGGTCAAAAGGTCAGCCTGTAAGATTAAAGGGATGTATTAAAACAGGGTTAAAAGATCAGCAATGTATTAAAACAAGGTTAAAAGGTCAACCTGTAAAAGATGCTTGTAATGAAGAACACATTTTTAACAGTTCAATTGACTGTATGTTGTATTATGTCCCATTCAAGAATTTTTCACTCGTAGAGAGGTCACTATAAACCGGTGAAGGGCTTCAAATTTTACCTTTACTCGGCACTCAGAGCCATTGAGCAGTGAGGGATTTTATCTTGTCAACGCCTGCCGTGACACGAGACCTGAGTTTTTAATGCCTCATCCAAAGGACCCACGTACAATTTTCACTACAAGTGCCGAGCGCATTGTCGTCAGATTTTCTCATTATTTCCCGATCGTGACAAGGATCACACAGCAGATGTGACAACTTGGTAGGGGATGCTCACTCCTCCATGGCACCTGATCCAACCTCAGATGTTTTTGAGGTCCATCTTTGCCTGCTCTGCTTCTATTTTGTATTGTGTAATGGACTTTGAGCTTGAGTACTGTTCGTTATCTTCATATATTTCGTTCTTGCAGCGTGAAATTTCAGTTTTTATGTTCATAGATCTATTTTTACAGTTTAGACATTTGATTTATACATAAAAACATAATTATCTTCTCCGTTAATATGTACGTGTTATTGTCAGAAGCTTACTCTAAAACTGTCGTTTGTAAAGCTGTAGATAATGGGATTGGCAAAACTGTTGGACATGGCCAGCCAATGAACTCCCAGGTATAATCCCAGTTCTAGCCTGTCGTGGTAGGTGGAGGGATGAAAGTCACGGACCAATGTAAACACATGAAGAGGGAGCCAGCACACCCCGAATATCGTCACCACGATCACCAGCATCTTTACCACCTGTCACAGAACACCATAGAGCGATTAAAAATCACAGTTATACCATTGGTAAGTGTAAGTTAAAGTACGATCAAGTGAGAGGTTACATTTACTAACAAGGTCATTTTATCGACCATATAATTACAAAAGGCTGGTGTTAAACAATGTTGTTGAAATTCTTGTATTGTCAACTTATATTTCAGTAGTCTGCCCCGCTTTCAAAATTTATCATACTCAGAGCATGCTTTTAAAAGTATCAAATAAGTTGGAAGATGTAAACTCTGCATGTATATCCAGGTAATAGCGGAGAATCGCTGAAGAAAACAGGAAAATTGACGACGGTAAAGATTATGTCCATCTTGTTTGTCATACAATGTAGTTGTAAATTGGCTTTTATCACAGATGTTTATTGTCAACATCCAAATAGAGGACAAATGTGTCAAACTTTGTGATGACTTTTATTTTGAGTTTACTGTCTGGGATATGGAATCGACATAGAAATAACTTGGCAATATGTCTGAGTGTCGAGTTGAAGACCACAATAAATGTTTTCTTCTCATGTATGAGTTCTTGCATAAATTCTGCTTCATATATATATTCTGTTTCTAAAGAAGCAGTGTTATTGCCCATCGAAATTCTAAAGATTTTCAGAAAATATTGACTCAAGACTTCATAAATGTTGTCAATGAGAAGCTCTAGCATCCTTTAACTATTTACTTATGAACACCTGTTCTTGTGTGTAAAATTAGAGTGATTTTAACAAATAAAATTAAAATTTGTTGAACACCAACTACAACCTTTTTTTATTGAAGAAATAGTTCCTAAATTCCTAACTTTGAATTTGTCACAATGCTCTACCACAATTTTCTCAAGACCTCGCGATTAATAAAAGTTACAAAAACAGAGACTAAAACCAAAATATCAAGTTTCTAATTGAATTTATGGAATAAAAATTATCTTTAGGACAATGGCCGTTAACAGCTACATGTGGATTTGGTAATGTCCTTCGCAGATTGATAGCATTGTCGAGTTAAATTAATGTTCATTGATTATTTCTTTTATTACATGTTTCAAACTTTTACTTTTCAGAACGTTTATAGCAGATTATCAATAATGCATCTTTACATTTTATGCTTTCTAGTACATTTCAATTTTCAAAGAACATTAATTAATTTTTTTGTCAGCTATCAGTATTATCAATTACTGAGCGTAAAGCGATGGATTTACATGTGGTGCATATTGATTCCCGTAAAAGAGTTGTCGGCTTTTAAGCGTGTCACATAAAATCCCAATGATGGACAGAAGCTATGCATTCTCTGTGATTTATGGGTACAAACTGGATACTTTGTCCGATTTTTTTTCTGAATTATTACAAAATGTGATTGGGAGTCTTTCGACTGGACTCAATTTGTTACAAAATTAGAAGTTACACATATTGTTTTATTCTAAATAAAAGAGGAATCCGTGTTAATCATTATTAAAATGTGATTTTTTAAAATACATTTTCCAGTTCAGGCATTTTAATAGTTTTTTTCTTCAAAGACATGATTTAGAACATGAGAAGTGATCCCTTCATAAATCATGGTCTCTAAATTTTTTTTTTATTCATGTCTTTGATTGAAAGTTCTCAATAGTATGTATCTTTTAACCAGAGAACTCAAGAATTATTCTAAACCAAAGGTAGAATAGTGATATTTTTTGCACATGGTTTGTAGAATGATTGGTTGAATATATCACACCGAGCATCAAGTGCAAAAGGAAGCGATGACACGTTATGTATAGAATGTTTTACTCTAAATCAAATCAGCAACTCTTCTTTTTCTCAGGAACCTGTTGAATTACTCTACTGAGGATAACAGAAAAGCAGTGTTCTGAACATGTAACAACCACTCAGAAAGTCCATTTGCTCGGTTACTTCTAAATAAACAGATAATAATTTCTGAAATACATATTTGTAGTATAAGAGAGGAGGAGAGTGGTCTTCGTTCCATGCCTTTTGTTTAATGTTACAGCCTACTTCCTGTACTATGCTAAACCATCTTCCACTGTAGACCCTTTTACTGTGGAAAAAAAAATGTAGAATCTGATCCTAACATGCGGATTTTAATATATATCTAATATTTTATCCATTTTATTAAAAAAAGAAAATGATAAGTCCTTTACAAAAACAAACAAAAAAAAAAAAAAAAGATTTTGAATGAAATTTGGCTTTTACTTTTTCATGTTATTAATTTAAGACAGTATTAATTAGATATTCTTGTTATCTTATTAATCACCAGATTTAATCATAAAAGAGCTAGCGTTACCGTTTTGTAAAAAAAAAAAATAACAGAATCCTGTAAAAGTCGATTTTCAACATTTATCCAGTTTCTGGTTTTATCTGCTAGTAAGTTGGAAGTGATGACATAAGCAAATGTAGGTCGAAGCTAAACGAAGGTCTGGATTATCGATGAAGTACTACTTTGTCAGCCAATTACATCGGTTAAGGAACTTCTTAATCAATAAATGACCCATAATGCCAATAAAAGGGGCATAAAATTATATTACCATTATTTTCACATAGAAACGACTACGGATTTTTCACACGATGGAAGCCACCGGTTTGCAGGGGATGTTTACTTCTCCTTGACTCGTAGTCCCTTCTGTGCCAGAGATTCGTGTGTTTGCCCACAATTTGTATTGTCTAATGCATTTTTTAGGATGATTATTGTTCGTTAACGTTTCATCCAGAGGGACTCATTATTATGTTCCCCAAACGGAGTTTGGGAACATATTGTTTTTACTCGGTTTCTTATTATTATTATTATTATTATTATTCTTTTTTTTCTTATTTGTTCTCCGGTAATTTTTTGTCCGGAAGTGTTCTCAGAAACTGTTCACCCAACTGACCTAAAACCTTTTTAGGGTTAATGGGTGTGTAGGGTAGTTGTGCGGAACGAAGGTCATATTGCACGCATACGCATGCACGTGCGTGCGCGTGCAACACGTGAAATGACTTATATACTTAATATAGCTATAACTTTTACATTTTTTAATGAAATGATTTGAAACTCATTATATAAAGACATATTTATAGTGTACATAATGTGACACTGTCAAATTAGCACGAACTCACGCGCATGCACGTTTTTTCGCTCTGATTGGCTAAAACAAAAATCTCAGTATCTTCTCTGTTTTTTGACGAAATGCTTTGAAATTTAAAAAAGTCATACATTAGGATATCCTACAATATGATATATAGTAATTTTAATCAAGTCACGCGCATGCACGTGCGCTGCAATCTGATTGGCTGATACTTTAAATTACTATATCGCCTTTGATTTTTGACGAAATGCTTTGAAATCAAAAACATAGTCATACATTAGGAAGTCCTGCAATATGATATACAAAAAATTTCAAGAAATTACGCGCATAAAAACACGTGTGCTGCGATCTTAATGTAAACTTTAAATGACTATATCTCCGTTGTTTTTTGACGAAATGCTTTGAAATTTAAAACATAATCATTCATTAGGATATCCTACAATGCGATATAGAAAAAAAAAATCATGAAATCACGTGCATGCAAGTGTGCTGCAAAAATCTGATGTGGCTGAAAGAGAAATGGCTATAACTCCCTTGTTTTTCAACCAAACAGGATGGGATTATATGAACAAAGATAAATATAAGGGACTCCTACAAGAATATAGTCATCATGCATGTGCACGCACGTGCGTGCATTTGGAACGAATGAAATTAGAAATACACTTGAATGAGTGATTTTTAACACTTTTGGACTGAATGCTTTCACATATAATATATTACAGGGAATATGGCAGTAAAAGGAAGTTACAGCATATGACACAATTTTAACGGTTCCCGTTACAATTAGCCCTAGTTATTGATTAATTTTACTTTTAAAAAATTCTTTTGACTAAATTTAAAATACCGAGAAGCAGAATAATAAATATAAACTTTATAACTGCTTTCATCATTCATGATAACTATATTATCTTTTTTTATGATGATATACATGTACTCACTAGGGATATAAAGCAAAAGCTAAAAACATCTCAAATGAACCAGCATAAAAACATAACGTCTTCCTTTAATGTAAAGAATGAATATCCATTTTGATGTTTTTATTAACACTATAAAAAATTATCAATGATTTTGAAAATTATCCCAAAAATTATATCAAAACGAGAATTGATAATTATTTTGTATTACACGTCAAAAATCTACATGTATTATGTTCTACTGAGAAATATTTAGTGACGTAAGGATTTTCTCCTCAAGGAAGCTAGCTCTTTAAATGAACACTGCATTAAGGGTCACGAGATATAATTTATGACACTGTATTATATATTGACAAAATTTGTGCTCATCCCCCCTCCCCAGTTTCTATGACCATTGTATTTTTTCTCTGGACACATATATTGAATATAAAAAACTGATGAAAAATCACAAAGTAAAATTGATATGTACACCTTCATATGACACAATTTTTCAACGTCTCAAAGAAATGTCATTAGTGTTTGGAGCTTCCTTAATGAAAAAAGGACGATTCATAGATTAATGTATTATGACTGAGAGTAATATCTCGAACTGAACCGTGCTTAAAGAGAGAAATTGTCCAGTAATGCATATTTGTAGATATTAGGTTCAATAAAAATAGACTTAATATTGACAATAGCTTTTTGTTCATTCGCCATAAAGCTACGAATGATCAAATTTGCACATAAAGTGTATTAAGCTTTGATGACCTGTTTACACGCACTCCGCCGATTCCTTTGATCAAAGATATTCATATCGTGTTGATTTCCATATTGCAGAGTTTGATAAATTTCAGTCACAAGGGAACGGGTGAAAGGCGAACCGTTGTCAGTGAATCGAGGGTTGTTGTCATTAGTGTACCGAGGGTTGTTTTCATAAGTGGACCGACGATTGTTGTCACCATGCAGTGGACCGATGGTTGTTGGCATTATGCATTGGACATAGGCTTTTTGTCATCAGTGGACCGAGGTTTGTTGTCATTAGTG